ACACACACACACACACACACAGCATCCCTCTGTAGAGTCATGAAACCAGATTACAAATGACAAGTGTTTCCAGAATGAGCAGTCAGTCCCACACATCTCTCAAACTTACCGGAGAGCCTGATGAGCTTAGATGTCAAAGTTCAATAAAACTGGTTTCCTCATGAAGCAAAATCACGAAATATGAACATAAAAGACATCTAATCGTCTAAAACAAGTTAAATCAGTACCAGACCAAAACTGGATTTGTGACACTTTGTTAAAAACATGAATTGATCCAACAAAGACACCACTAAACCTCCGACTGAACCACTTAACACCAGAGAAAGCATCACCTCGTGTCTCTGTTACCTGTGAAGTCCTCTGCTTGAAGATGCAGGTCACACAGCTTGTGGATGTAGCGGATGTACATGTCCTCCTTGTTCACCTCCGATTTGTAGAAGTTCTGGTAGTGATTGAAAAATAAAAAGCAATCGTCAAACTCTCAGTCCATGTGTAGAATATTACCGTTGGAAATGAGTCTTTCAAATCCAGACACTCTAATTAATGTCTTACCATAAGGTTGACGGAGCCACCAATTTTCTTGTTCTCCATCTCATCTCCTTTCATGCAGTCCCTACACATAGAGATTCAGAGTTTCTTTCTCATTTCACGACATAAACTAATGCTTCTATCATGCGTAATAAAATCTCAGTGTACCTGTAATCCAGTAATCGCTCGACAAGTCTCGTGACTGATGTGACGAATGAGATCCCCGTCTCTCTCCAGGTCTCCTGCTCTATCTTCTCCAGCAGGCTGCACAGAAAAATCAGTCAGGCATTCTTACTAAAGATAGAGCAGCAAAGGAAGTAAATAGACGTGGATCAGAACGTCTCTTGGAACTTGGCTGTGAAGGCGTCACACCTCACCTTGGATAAGGACCGAAAAGCTGGGTCCTGGAGTGTGAAAGCCAGACAACAAAGAGAAGTGTGTTAGGATAGTATGAGAGCAGCTTTGCTCTGAATATCACTCCACAGGCCAAATAAACAGGTTTGATGCTCACAAAAGGCTGAAGAGCTCTCTGTGGTTATCATCGCCTTTCCCATCTGACACCATGCTGTCCAGCTTATCCATCAGCTCCGCTTCCACCTACACACACATTAACACATCCAGACGAAAGATCAGGCACATTACAGCGCGTGGCAAAAAGCTGTCCATTTTTATCACAACAGCCCTGATGCACAGTCTGTATTCATTGACACGGTAACGTCGTAATGACCTGTTTGAAGTTGCCATTTTTCCTCTGCTCCCAGTCCATCATGTCGTGGAAAATTGGGATCATGATATTTCGAACCTCAGTTTGAGGGACGAGGGTGACTCCCAGGAAGGGGCCCATCATTCCCGGGATGAAGTGGGGCTTATTGTCACCTGATGGAGAGAGAGAGAGAGAGAGAGAGAGAGATTCATGTTCATGTGAGCAACTGATGGATTTCATGAAAGGTTCATAATGTAAGATTTAGGTGAAAAGGGATCAATTGGCAGAATTTGAATATAAAATAATCCTAGTGATGAGTTCATGAGTGTGTTTCATCTAAATTGTACAAATTGTTGTTTTCTTCACCCTTTATATTTAAATACTTTATATTTACAAAAGGAGTCGATCCTCTCTACGGAGGCCGCCATGTTTTTTTAGTTTTTTTTTTACAGTAACCCAAACTAAACATCTTTTGAGTTTTTTGTCAACTGAAGGCTGCCACTGGTTCTCTCTCATGTTTGGAAGGGGAGGGTGAGGTGAGGGGTGTTCAGCTGCAACATGCAACTTCACCACTAGTTGTCACTAAATTCTACACACTGAACCTTTAAGATCTAAATGCAGGTAGCAATATGTACGTGTGGTACGTTGTGGTGTGTACTTGAAGAAAGATGACACACCTAATTTTTGCCACATGCTGAAGAGCTCATACGCCATCATCACTCTCATGTCTCCATGCCTACAAAGACAACAGTGGATAATCAAGTGTTAAAGAGTTAAGTCAATAACAGAACCAGACACGTGAAGAATGTTTGGTAGTCTCTCACTTGTCGAGGACTTTCTTTCTCTTAGCGGGGCCGAGTGCCTCCAGCTGCAGACTGGGCTGGTTGATGTACAGCACAGTGAGACTGAAGAAGGAGTTCCACACCTGACACACCACAGACAAAAGCAAAAATTAGCTGTCATTGTTCAATTTAACAAAAAACATGAGTTTCAAGTTGGAAATATTTATATTTTTTGGTTTTATGCTGTACTGAGTTCCCCAAAATGCCAGCCCCCCGCTGTTAGAACACACACCTTGAAATCAAAATCGGCCTCTGAGAAGTTCTTGTGGAGTGCCGGAGACAGGAACTGTGTTGTCACTACGATGATGCTGCAGAAGGCAAACATTACACTGTCAGCTTACCAAACGAGGCAGCGGCCAAAAATAGATGAAATGATTTGCAACACGAGCGTCACCTTCAGAGCAGGATTATCTGAAGAGAGTCTGATCTTATAGTTGGCAGTGCATCCTTACCATCTCAGGGACAATGACAGTGTGACAGAAAAGGAAAAGCAGACTTACTGACTAGTTAGAAGCCTCATGACGCTCCAGTCTCGGGGGAAGATAGTCAGTTTCATCAGATTGCGAAACACACAGAAGATCTTCAACAGGAACTCCTGCATGAGTATATTAACAATGTTTATGCAGTCTAGATACATGAAGTAAACAGGCCACAGAAAACTGCTCAAAGATTTCCCACCTTCAGCTCCTCCTTGCTGTGGAAGTTGTTCAGTAGATGGTGAAAGTGGATCTCTGTCATTTGTCGGAGCAGAGAGAGAAGACAGGAAACATACTCCCCCTGCACAAGAGACAATGACAGACATGGACGTTTATGATTAGAAAAGGATAATCAAATTCTAAAAAATCACTAAATCCCACTTGTTTTGACTGCACATTGACGAGGAACAGGGAGCGGAAGCTTACAGTTATCTCGGCGGTGCACTGCGGACAGCGTTGTCCTCTGGACGTCTCCACAGAGTGAGACTTGCTCATGATGGACAGCAGAGTCTGCAGCAGCACGTCCAGGAGGCTCTCCACCATCATCTCCACTTCCTCCTGAACCGAAGAGTCCTGAGTACAAGCAGAAGGAAGCAGAGAAACATTGAGTCAACAACAGAGATGTACACATGCTGCTTAATGGGAAGATCTGAAGAGTCCGTTCAAGCTACAGATGTATAACTGTGATTATTTTATTTTATTTATTTACTTTGTTATCATCAAATGAGCTTTTCATTCAGATGTGTGGAGTGTATCTAAAACACAATGTACTGTACCATAGAGCTGGTCTTGATTATAGAAAAGATGCTGCCGAGGATACCAGAACAGATGAGCAGCTCCCTCTGCTGGCGCAGATGCAGGTGGATATGATGCAGAACCACCGGCAGCAAAATACTACGAGACTCTGAATAAAAAGAAAAAGCATGAAAAACCATATACATACACATATGCACATGCACATGCTGTAATAACTTCAGAGAATAATAAACACTTTGTCTCACCGGGGAAGAAGAAGAGGCGGCTCTCGACTGTACGAGCTATGGACTGCAGTTTGACTACATCCATAGACTGGCCAATGTCCACTGTGCTGGGCATGCTCCCCAGGGTGCCCCTGACATATTCAGCCACCTCCTGAACAGTGAACATCTGCAGCAGCTCATCAAAGATATCAGGGAAACTGTTCAACAGAGCTGCCTGAGGACGAAAACAGAGTGCAGCGTATGTTATACTTAAATATATAAAAACATCCCAAAAGATGATAAACACACTGACATGACAGAATATCCTCGAGTTAAACTGGTTGAAGGAACGAGATCGAGATCTTACTGTCGGAAAATTTTCAAAAAATTTCAAAAACAAAATCTCAACCACTCACTGCTTATCTGCTAAAATACATCATCCTGTTATAACAGGCTGCCACTCACAACAGCCTCTGTTGCATTGTCGAGCAAACACATGGTGGCGCTGTGACTTACTGAGATGGACGAGAGCCCTTTAGCGTGACCACAGACAGGCATGCAGCTGGTCACACCCCTAAACTGTCCAAGAGCAAGCCAAGGATGGGGCAACGGGGGGGCCGACGGATTAAAGCATCAATCACCAAATGCACAGAACGAAAAGGTGGAACAAGTCACAAGAATGAAATGAGAAACAAGTTAATAAAAAAATCAATCAATGAAACTTCAACTCAAACTGTGAAGATGAATAAATGAAAAAACATAAAAACATTTATAAAAGAAAATAAATAAAGACAGGTGGCATTCCTTGCCAGAGGGGGAGGCAGTGTAAACTATCTGACCTGCGTGAACACCAGGTTCTCTGAGCTGCGGCTGTCAAGACTCAGGACGAAGCGAATCGACTGGAAGAGCTCTTGGATGCTCGCTCTGAACTGCTCCTCCTCCATCCCGCAGGTCGCCCTCGAGTACAGGATACGAGACTGGACGATGAACTTGAACAGGTACTCCAGAGCCTGACAGAGACATGCAGTCAGCCAAGGTTCACGTCATATGCTAGGAAATTATCAGCTCCCTAACAAAGAATAACAACTGAGTGCTAAATTGGATTGTGATTGGAAATCAATACATAAATGAAACATTTCCAATTGTCAGGTATCTAAACAGACATTGGATCATCTCATCACAAAAGAAATTTCAAAAACATGTAAATGATGCACTTATCAATACCTGAAGTTTTTATGATTTTCTTTCATTAGCTTTTCTCTCTGCAGGGAATTCACTCCTGAGGCCTCATGTGGCATCACATTACTCCTCATCAGCCCTTATCTTTATCGTTATTGACTATGTCTGCATGTCGTACTAATTAACCCCAGTGGAAGGAGCCAAGACCCTTGTTTTATTCTGCCATTCTGAAACTAAACCAGACAGACGTCTGTGTGATACTTTACCCTCATGGCTTCCTGGATGTGGTCCTGTCGGACGACCTCGGCCGAGCGGTCCATGTACCACTTCAGACATCGAATCAGCTCTCTGCAGAAACGATGGCGGTCAATATCACATGTAACAGTGCGGGTTTGTATTTGAATTGTCTTGTTTACCGAGATGAATTTAGTAAACGTTGTTGTACTTGTATGCCAAAGCTCCAGCAAAATGGTTTTGGATGTAGGAGTCCATGACAGGTCTGAAGTGGTAGAAACGGCTATCCCTGAGTAAGTTGATGATGAACACCTGAACACACACACACACGTATATAAAGATGTTATGTCTATTTCCTCTGCTTCAAGTCAAATTCCAAAATTCAATTTCGGTACAGTTGTGCGTTTTATTAAATTTCTTACCAGTGACTGGAAAACCAGCGGCCCGTATTTATCTGTGTTGTCATCTAAAAGACAGAAGAGTGTGTCCAGGACATCTCGCAAGAACTGTGAGGGAAAAAAGAGACAACACTTAGAACAACCATCACATTAAAGACCTCGCTGCACACTAAAATAGAAACAAAGGGTAGCCCCCTTCATCCGAAACACACACACCAATAAGATCACTTAACCATGCATTCTTATAAAATTTAAACTTGTAAATATGATCAATACATAGATAATAGTATCATTATTACTATTATATCATCTATAATCCATAAAGTCACACCTGAAGCTTTATATTTTTTACATTTTTAACTAGGGAATCTAAATATTTTACATACGTGTGGTCAAGGGAGCCCACTACATCACCTGGCTACAGACAATAAATATTCTTTACATCCTGCACATCATCAGCTAAATGATCTGAAGACAGCGACCTTGACAATCTCCTCGCCGCTGATCTGACGCAGTCGACCGAGGATGTCCAACACCCTGTCCGGATGAGCCTTCCAGTTCAGAAGTGCCAAAAGGTCGACTGAAAACAGAAATCAAACAGAGTTGAATCAAAATGAAAAGAGTTAAGTGGAAATGTATGATTCGATGGAAGATGAGATGAGATGAGATGAGATCACCGTTTTGTGTGAGTTTGGTGGAGCAGAGTATCGTGGACACCCAGAGGGCCTCTTTGGGGCTTCTCTGGAAGGGCAGGTTGGCCGGCAGGTTGGGGCAACTGTTGAAGTCCTCCTTACAGCAGGGCAGGCTCAGATACAGACCCTGGTTACTGAAGGTGGCGTTTTCATCACACTAGGGGTGCACACAGGAGCATTAGAGATCGTTCATTAAGGCTTGGAGACTGTTAGGAGAAGAAAATATCATCACACACTTCACTGAACGAAGTGTTGGTCGATGATTTAACGACAGCAGGGTGTTAGTGATGGTGGTTTTTAATTTCTGGCCTGAGAGCAGACACATTTCTTTGGCTCCTCCCTCTTGCAGCAGTTAAGTTATTGTAGGAAAATCTTGTTGGGCTGTTTCCGACCAATAACAAAACCAGATGTGCACATTTTCTAATAGTTGGGGCTTGGAGGTTTCTGAAGGTGACTGCGTTTCTATGAATGGTTATGAACTCCTTAAACACTGCAAAAAATTGTATGAATTTAACTTAGTTATGTGACAACCTTGAAGCTGTGCTCAATTAAATTTAATGGTAAAAACACCTTCACCATTAAACCAAATCACAGTGTTTTTAAATCATCGAGGGCTGCTCCGTGATCACACGGCCGCTACAGTTTTTGATGATGGAGAGCAAGAAAAAAAATGTCATCACGTTGTCAAAATCTGAGAAGACTCTGAAAACATGTTATGAAGCTGTCTCCCACGCTGGGTCGCTCTATCAACACTGAAACACCCCACCACCTCCACCACTGCAGCGAGGCCATCATCCTTTTTTATTGAAAACCTTAAAAACACACAGGTCAAAGATAAAGACAAACCAAAGCCTGTCTTTGTCTCACGCTTCCAGTGCGAGTGTGTACGTGTGAAACCTGCTCATACCTTGTACACATACAGCTCATGGCTCTCATCTGACAGCGTGGTCCCATCTTCTCTCATCAGAGGCGTGAAGGCAAAACCAAACAGTTTTTTCTCCCCTTTGTCTTTAGCTGAAAGAAAGCACATCATAATATCATGCATCATCACTGCACACGCCACACTTGCACGGCTCGGAGCGTGATCCAGTCTGTCCTAATAAACTCTTGTGCTGAGGGATGACTGCCACTGGGCCACATTACTGACTCACTGGAGCAGTGTCGGAACTCGAAGCGTAGGTGGGACCCTCTGAAACGATCTATGGGAATGGGCAGCTTGACCATCTCGCTCCAGCGAGGGCTGTTGTTGTGGTAAAGGACAAAGGAGCGATATTCGCTGTTGCTGGGCTCCCCGCTGCCCAAACTGATGCAGTCCTAAAAAGAGAAAGAAACGCAGGGGGATCATTTTAGTGACATCAGCGGTTAATGAAATTAACGCGTGGATGGATAGGAGGAACAGTACACTCATCGTGAGTCACGCATTGATGATATGGGACAGAATAACCAGTGAACACATGCGTCATACTTTGAGCGTGTCCCCGTCAGCATAGAGCACGTAGAGCGTGACTTCGATGTTCTTCTGGACGCTCTTGCCGCCTCTTTCAAACTCGCCACGCTCAAGGGTCAGATAGAGGTCATTGCGTGTGTCTCCTATGACAATTAACACAATTAACACGTTCAAATCTTGTCACAATAGAGTCAAACCTCCAGTTCTGCTGCAACGAAGAATTTTATAGAAGTGCAATGTTAAACCCCCCCCCCTCCTAATTTTAATGGCACCAGCAGGACACCTCAGACATTCATAGGACGATGATTACAATCATGTCTCCTCCCAGGTGATGTTAATAAGTACATGTCAGCCTCTGCTCTACAGATGGACTGCAAGTGGTCAACATAAATTAATCTGCTGTGCGGACTCAGATGTGCAGGAACACATTGTTGTTCCCGTCAATGAGAAATGACCCTGCTGAGCTGTAACATACTGTAGCTCACGACTGCAGCAGCACCTTTATTTGTGAGGTCAGTGTTTAATGGAATAAATATCAGTGGCAACGGTGGAGGAAGATATTGCAGTTATTTATAAAATCAGATTATGGTTATTTATATCCAAGTCATTTCCTTGGGGACAGATGAGTCACAAGGAGTGATACTGGGAGGTATTTCAGGCGAAAGAGCTGGAGGAGAGAAGAGGAGTGGAAAGGAGAGGAGAGGAGAGGAGAGGAGAGGAGAGGAGAGGAGAGGATCATACATTCTCAGTAGATACAATAAATTATATAAGCTGATGAAATATACCACAATAAACATACTCTCCTTTTCTTTTTGTAGACCTCTTTGTTTTATAATTTGCTCAGCACCTACAACCTAAATGCGGATCTCACATAAAGTTTTCAAAATACCAGTGGTGGAAGAAGTATTTGGATCCTGAAGAACTTTATATAAGCTTAATAGTCATGCATTCGAAGTATTAGCAGCAAAATATATTTGTACTAAAATGGTTCATTCTGCTGGTACATCTTTGATTTTTAATCCTGATGCAAGGGTTATATTTTATATATCTGCTGTGTGTGTGTGTGTCTATTCTAACAAAGGTCTGTACAGTTAAGCAGTTTGGTGTCCATCTTCGGAGTCGAACCCCTCAAAACGTTACCGGCAAATCTCAGGGGCTGTGAGATGATTCCTGAGGTAGGGATAAAAACTAATTTCTCCTCACAGAAGATAATCTAGACCTAATCTTTGGTTGTTTTGCAAAACACAAAAAAATATAGAACATCTTTGAGTTATACATCAACTATCTGACATTTGGACTGTACATCGTGTGCTCACGTCCTCATCACCACAGCCCACTCTGCTTTCCTGCATCTCTCCAATGCTATTTCCTGCTGTTTCAGTCTTTTACCTCCTAGATCTCACTTTTCCCACATCCTCCTTTTTCATTCCATGTTCATTACTACCCTGAGTACCCAGAGTACCCTGATCCATTCATTCGCTTTTAATTCATCCAGAGCAAGTGGCCTTTCATCTCCACCTCCTCCCTGAACCTCTCCATTCCCATTACCACCCTCTGCTCTTTGCCTCCTTACCTGGCAGGATGACATCTGGGAAACCTAGTTTGCGTGTGAGTGCCAGGGCCCTGCTGAACACAGCCTGGTTCTCTCGTCTGATCTGCTCCAGCTCGCCCCGCAGAAGCTGCAGGGAAATGATGAGGCCTAGGGGCAGGTGGTGGTGGTGGTGGGCGTATATGTGTGTGTGTGTAAATGGGGGAGAGGCCAGATAAGGAGGTGTGGGGTTGTGGGAGGAAAGTGGAATTGGAGGAAAGACAGTGAAGAGACAAAAATGGAGGGAGGGAGGAGAAGGGAGGGACAGAGGAGTATTTAAGGGACATTAGTCAGAATGTGGGGGAGGAGAAGACAAGACAAGAGAGAGGATGGAGATAGGGAGGAGAAATAGTGTTGTGGAATTACACAAAGAAACAAAGAAAAATATGGCTACTGCACAAATCTTGTGACAGATTTTTGTGAGGCATGAGTCATAATTTAAACAGTGACTTGCTCATATAAGACAAGAAGTACCAGTGAATTTGAAGAGTTGAGTTAAACAGTGAGTCCAGCTTGTAAACTCCTGCTCAGAGAGATCGTGTCACACTAAAGATACAAAGTGACCTGCACTGACTTGATTTCTAATATTTACTGTTTCTTTCTTCAAACTATCATAATTGCATTTAACAGGGGTGGGCAATATTAAAACAATCATCTGTGATATTAAGTGCTTTACATTTATTAAATTCAACTGCAGAACCATTTAATGAAAACACAATAATTAGAAGGGAGTTTCTGTTTTTTTGGATGATCCAGTGAAATATTCACTTTGAAGGTAAATATCAGTAGTCCATTCAGACAATCAACGAGAAAATCATTTACAACTTAAGTTTCCTGTTCAACAGATTTCCCCAATAAACACAAATTTAAAATGAGGGGGCTGCCTCATGTCAGTGCAGAATGAGAGAGGTTCTAATCTGTTGAATCCAAAATTGATTACTTTTACTAGAATAAAACATTTAGACAAACGGAAACCTCAGCAAAAACAGTACATCAAAATCATGTAATGTAATATTTAGCCCAACCCAAGTCACAGTGAAAAGTACTGCTACATAGCAAGGGATGTTTATGAAGTCATGGTTCACACGTTTTACAAAAACATTTTGTCTCTGGTAAGTGGTTTTACTGCAGCTCACTGAGCCCAGTTCTTGGAAACAGTAAATATAAAAAATAAATGAATAGTGCTGAAACTGGCGATTCTGTAAATTATGCAGAGTTACTGGGACAAAGCAAAGAAATGCTTCTAAAGAATTTATTTCAAATGTAATTTTTCACAGTCTTGCGCATCAGAAGTGACATTTTGATTCAGCTCTAAATCTTGGAGTTTGGTTTCTCAAAATCTGGGGAAATTTCAACGAATGCCAATTGTATAATAACTGCACACATAACTTTGAGTACATAAAAAAGAGAAAATATAACACCAGGGCACCTAAAGATCTACAGAAAGGACAGATTTACCATAGTTGGTGCTGGGAGCTGAGTACTTGGTGTTGGACTTGCGTATGATGTTCTCGTGTATCTGGTACCACTCGTTCTCATTGTTACACCTGGAGAGAAAAGACAGGAGGGTGTAGCGCTGTAGCGACGCACCCATTAGTGGGTCCAGATGGAGGGATTGGGATTGTGTGCATGGGGACTATATGAACAGCATGTGTCCCAGAGCCGATTTCCTCCTGGAGAAAAGTAGCAGCAGGGGGAGGTGCTATCAAGCAACACATTAGCCCAAATGCACAACACACTAAGCAAACCTGACAGCCAGCTCTCGACCAGCCTTTTTCATTACTGTGGGCCCGTAGGCCCCTGGGAAAGGCATGGGGAAATGCACAGACTGGAGCCTTATAGGAGCCGACAGTTTGGAGGCAGCTCACTACTGAATCACTGCTTGCTCTTCAAAGGGAAGAGCTCTGTGCCTCAGCAGAGAAATCCAATAAAAACGACAGCTTTCTATTGCAGGAATCTAGATTTCACACCGAGATGTGTAGTATATAATACTTCATGAAGAAAACATCATATAACAGGATGGAAGTGTATGAATGACCTGCGACCCAAAGCAGACACTGAGGAGGACACCGGGAGACATTCTAGCTGTTGACTGGCAAGAGAAAACGCTGAGCTTGGTGTTTTTTTCCTTTGTCCTCTAACTTTGTTCAATTATCCATGTGTCATCGCTCTCAGTCTCTTCCTCTCTCCTTCTGCGTCTCCTTCCTTCCCTGGGTCGGCCGGTGGACAAGAGTGGCTCTCTGTGGTGAAGCCTAACAGAAGCAGCCAGATTCACAACACGCCAAGTGTCCTATCTCAGGCCTGGGGCGAGCAACTATTGATTTTGTAGAAGACACTTCATTATCATTCTGGTCGAAACACACCCGACATCAGCACTGAAGCACTCGGTTATCATGCACAACATTTGCACAACATTTATACCTCCATGCCTCAATACATAGATGTATTACTTTTACTTTTACTTCCTTTAGTCCAGAAGTCATGCAACTATGTTTGCAAGGAGGAGGAAGAAGAGCTTCACTAATACTTACGTATAAACTTTGAGCACAAAGTCCTTCTCCTCTTTGAGGTCTGTGATGGTGTGGAAAACATCACTCATGGCGAGAACAGCGCAGCCATAAGGTCGCCTGTACTGCACATGAGGGGGGCCTTTCTTTGAGTCGTTCAGCAGCATACGACCTGGACACAAAAGAAGATGCAAAGAGGAAACGTTGATTATTCCAAAAAATATCTCTGTCATTAAAATGAAGAATATGAAACCAAACTAGCTTATTTACCAGTTCTTATGACGTGTGCAACGATGTACAGGTCCCTCTTCAAATCTTTACTACTCAGGTCCTGAAGAGAAACGAGATGCAAAATGTCAGCAGATGAAATACTGAATATTTGCATTCACGGGTAGAAGGGGAAGAATGTTACCGTGAAGAGAGCACACAGACGATCAACCTTCTCTGGATTCTTTGGTCCTCCATTTTTGTTCAGTTTCACCATAAACTTCTCACTGCAAAGGACACCAGCTCTCAGTTTTACAGTCTGTCAGCTACCGAATCAACAGGTAGTGAGAAGGTATATGTGTGTGTGTGTGTGTCATTGAATTACAGGGACCATTCAAGGCCGTTATGCTTTCACTGACATTCCTCAACATACCTGATCTGTTTGGCCTCGCGAGTGTCGTACAGAGAGAAGAAGACGTCTGCGTCCTCACTGATGCTGTTGTAAGTGAAGCTCTTCAGATTGATGAAGAGGTGGTGCGACACAGGGACACGGCAACCGTCACCATGGCGCTGTCTCGTGCTGTCACCCTGGGAACACAGAAGACAGTGGCCGCTAAGAAGACGGGTCCAAACTGAGAGGGAGTCCAAGTACCAGCTATTCTGTTTATAGATAAAGTTGATTAACAGATCAATGATGGGTTGGATGATTCACTCGTATATGTTCTATAGTTTATTCCATCCTGTCCAACCAAGTACTTGCTTTATTTTTAATGCTGCTTTATTATTTATCAATCAAACTGTTTTTTTATGATTTAAAGACAGATATAGCTTTTTCCCATTAGTATATCATTCATTATTATTGTGCCATCATGTTATTTATTTATATAGGAAAAAAGGTTAATACCTCAATATTCAGTTTAACTGATACACTTGAATAAAAACTTCTGAATATATTGTTTTAACTTTTGATCACGATTACATTTGATGAAATCTTTAACTTCCATTGAGGAGCCAGACATTGGACAGGATTTGGCTCATGAGCTGCTTTTTGCCCGCTACTGCTTTACAGCCTTCTCTCAGTATATATAAGCTCCGTTCAGCCTCTAGGAGAAATCTATTAGAAACTAGATAATGATAACTATGGCAGAAAGTTAAATATATTGTACTTCTTAATGGAGTCAAAAAGCAACAGGCCTTTAAATCGGTGTTTAACAAATGAAATTCAGTGGACACTTCTATTCAAAGTGACTTAAGGCACCATTCATGCATACTTTGGGGCATATGTGGTCCCAGTGGGAATCAACCTTCACATCCTGGCAATGTTGCTGTGAGCTTCTTATGGAGCTTGGCAGTGACAGTTTAAATTCTAACCCTATACATGCTCTTATAGATCACCAGGATTAGAGCCAACCAGTAAATAAGAGTCTGAAGGGGATGGTATGTTTGGGAAATAAATATAAAGTGAGAGATGAAAAGACTTTGAAAAGACTGTACCTGATTTGTGCTTTGCTGACCACAGTGTCTGCTGGATACGTGCTAAAAAAGAGTGAAGTTCAAAAGAAAAGATATCAGATCAGTCGGCCTGTCCTCTACTCTTCCGACACAGAGCTGAACCTATTTACCTCAGAGCAGCTTCAGACACACGCTACCAGAGTAAGGCCTCAGCCAAAGATTCAAAGTGGACGAAAATTTCACCTACGTACGTTGCAGAGTGGCGGCACTACTGTTCCTGTGGCGCTAAAAGAAGCCCACATGAGGCAAAATGTGAGCATGTGGGAGAGGAGAGGACAAAGCTGCTGTCGCCCACACATACCTCTCTGCTCAGCAGCCTAAAAGAACTCCTCTACTCCCCTACCTGAAGAGGTGCCAAGACCTCGTGCCCTGCCAAAAAACTAGCTCACTTTCATCGACAGAGTCAGGAGGCTTTTTGGCAACGAAGAGCTACGCTGTTGTTTCTGGACAGAGCATTTAGTGCACAAACACTGTGTGTGCGAAGCTGAGAAACATGGCAACGGGATAATAGGAGGCTGCAGGGCATGTGGAAAATGTTTTGATCAGCATATGGAGCTTCAGCTACTAACCTGAATGGATCCCCCTGCTAGATAACCGTCTCCAGCAGAATTACATTATATTTCATAACATCTGTGCTGTAATCACATGCTTCTAAAATTAGATCTGCCTCTGAAAGTCAGCTCTGTCTCCCTGGACAGGTTCAGAAGTCCAACGTCGCTACAGCCAAAATACATTTGAGACATTATTTTTTAATCATGTATCTATGTAGGAATGTATCTCGAGTCAGTTTGGCGGTTTAGAGCAACCGGGACTGAAATATGTTACGTTAAGTTATCGAAAAAAAGAAACAATAAAAAATTCATTAGTATGTATTTACCCGCTGCTTCGCCTGGCCCTGTCACTTTGCATTATGTATGCGGTGCTAGCTAGCAATCACGCTGGTGAGAGTCACGTGGACACAAGGAAAGGGACACACTCAATATGGTGGTAAGATAAGCATAAAGAACAGGTCACATGAGGCAGCTCCAGCAGCTGAATCGTGCTCCCTCTCTTGTGAGTCACCTTGTATGGATGATTTAATAATCGGTGCAGTCACACAGCCCTACACATCCAGCAACACTTTCTTACATGTAAAACCACACTGTCCAATGGGAGCAGAGGTACACAGTGGGTAAGAGAAGCTCATAAAGGCAGCATCATTTGAGTCATGGCTACTAATGAGTGTATGCATGCACCGGGGATATACGTAATTGCATTTTTAATCATTCGCACACGTTCCCTTTATTAATTTAATCTATTTAATAATTTAGGGGATGAATTTGTACAGCATGCACTTTTTTAAATGTTATCCAACATACCAGTTTGTGTAGTTCAGATACGCTGATCTGATCTGGATCCACCATTTCAAACTCCTTTCTGGGAACAAGGTCTAAACCAAGGTGCCTGTGAAAGAGGGTTCAGGAGAGAAGGAAGAAAGAAATTTGATTTTTTTAGCGAATGGTTAATAATAGTTAATATATTTCCTATTTCCTTATATTTCCTATACTTATATTTTTCATATAGCAACATGATTTAAAGTTGTTCAGCTTCACCTCAGAAGGGTAGAAGAGTGAAAAGGTCACACCAGCCTGCCGAAACAGTTCAACTTCTATTCATACTGTAAATTAAACTTTATTCTGTATACATTTTCTACAAACTCTGTGACACTGAATAAAATATTTGAACAGAAGACCCTTATTTGTTGCTCCTTTGCAAGACATGTTTGGCATCACTGGTAACAGTGTGATTCTTCAGTGGAACGAGGATTCATGGGCTTGAACAGTGATGTGCCGCTCAATATTAATTTATTTCGACAAACCCTTAAGAGAGTCTGTGGTACAGTGCTGGAGTAAATATACTTGGCATACATGTACCACTGATTCATGCTGTACTAGTGTACAGTATATATAACCTTTTACTTAAACAAAATTGTTCAGCCTCAAGTCACAGAGTTCTCTCAAGGCTGCGGTGACCATGAAATCACATCACTACAGCTTTCAGGTCAGTGTGCACCACAGACCACTGACATGGTGAACACAGGATCTGAGGCTCTACTTCTGAGTGTTCTCAACGTTCAAACATATTGTTCAATTATGACACACTAACGTTGACCGACCCTGTGATGTAGTTCAAAGTGTTTTTATGTGCATTTGTGCAATGAATCTTATATTAAAGTGACAGATGGTCCGTCCACATAAAGTTTTTCCTCAGCCGAGCCGGAGTCCACATCTTTATCTCTGTTATGGATGCCTGTCTGTGCTCAGTTGGACGGAGTCTGAATCTGGCAACAGTAGGAATATAGCTTTACAGTTCCTCCAGGGGGATGTGCGTTGACTTTAAGCTGCTTGAAATTCACTCATCTGCTAAATGACCATAAAATTACATCATAGAGGAGGCTATTATGCACCCACTCACCCGGCATTGTAGATCTCTCCAGTGCCAAGGAAAAATTGTATTCTTTGGTGGCCAACAGTTAAAGACAAATGTTTGCTGTGGAGCATGCATTCACTCCCGCCCAGTCTCTTGATACAGCGTGCTCGGTATTAAGCGTTACTCACTCGTTGCCCCAGTCAAGCCGCACAGTGATGTGCCGCTTGATCTCACGAGTCTGGTCCTGGGCGAGATGACCCTGGATCAGCTGCCGACGCAGGTCGATGAGCTCGTTCATCACATGACGGAGCTTATGGAACAGATCCACCTTGTGTTTCTGTTGAAGCAGCCAAAAGAGACTTAGCCAGGATATGTTATATCCTACTACTGTGGCATTTATATAAAGAGTACTACTGAAAATCCTCCTCATGCTATCTGTAATATAACAGCTGAACAATGATAAAATAGTACGTATGTCAAGTATGTAAGAAATACACATCAGAATCTGGTGATTTATTTGACAGTGAGTTTACAAATCACTAACCTAACTCTAACCACTCCTGCAGCACATAGAAGAACAATGTTTGCAAGGGTTTTGTAAACGAAACAAAAAAAACAAATACCCCTCGTTAGTGTGCTTTGACCTCCTGGTAATGAATTTCATCAGTATTTCTCACAGACTAAGGACAACACTTTTAATTCAGGCATTCTCTGTTCTACCTAATGATAGGACATGCCCACATTACCAGCCAGGTTTGTTTACATAAATGGAAAGATTAAGCACCGCCACAGTGCCCGTGTAAGTTTAATGAGGACAACAGAACACGTTCTCAGAGGCTGAAAAACAAGGATTTTTGTCAGGGTTGATGAGCCCTTTTGGACGACTATTCCGCAGGGCTTATTGTGTACATTATAACAGATACACAGTTCTGCTTAGGCCATTGTTCGCTAAAGTCGCACCATGAATTCTAATTGGCAACAATAAGGTGAAATGCATCAACATCCAGCCAGTACGAAACCCTGTTATTGTGGATGCAACTGCGGCAACATGGCCCATATCACACAGGGGGTGAGCACCAAAACAAGCACTGTTAAATCAGCCCTTCACATTAGTCAGGCTTCAGAGGAAGTTACATCACCACACCAATGCCTCGGGCTCCTTGGTTGCTCAGAGCATGAGCAGTCCTCAGTGAGAGGTTATGTAAAAACTTGCTGCCAGCTCTGCAACGTATCCACTCAGCTCCAAACTCCAAACCCCACCAACCACTTCTGCCTGCCCCCTCGACACTTAGCGGGATTAAGGATGCCTTAGGTTTCCAGTAATCACGTTTGCCCGGCAAGTAAAGGCTGACTGAAGGTGGTGGATCTTAAGATGATGCAGAAATGGTGAGAGGCAGGCCAGGATCAATCAATGGCTGAATGACACAGCATGAAATCGCATATGACAGGTCTGCAGGCCATTATCTGTACCCAGCCACCATTTCTGTCCCTACGCAGATAGTATGTGAAAATGTAGGGTGAGATTCAGGATGACGTGCGGTGGGGAAATATCTAAAGGAGGTGTCAATGCATGTTTGGGCTAAATCCCAGGCTATTCACCACTCCTGAGTGCAGAAAAGAAAAACACACTCTAGAAGCTAAGTCCATCAAACCCCCTCAGGAGGATACAAATGAAACAATGAAAGATGCAATTTCTTCTTGCAAAAGCCTTTTTTTTCTTTCGAAATCTTGCTAATGTCGGATCCACTCTCACATTTATTCTAGCTTAGTGTCTTGTCCTGATGTAAGTGCTACTGACCACGTAGAGCTGCTTCCACAAGACCCCCCATTCCTGCAGTGTGGAGGTGGTCTCTGTGATGATAGGGTCCTCGAGGGGCACCACCGTCTCACACAACCTGCAGTGGAAAAAAGACACATGAAATTGAGCGCACAAGGACACACACATTCAGATCTCAGTGTTGGGGAGTAATGTTCATGTTTTGAAAACACAATGTAGAATCTACATAAAAAGACTGACTGTATTGTGCCTGGAAATTTAAGTAAAATATGATGTATTTAAATACTGTCAGGTGATAATAATAGCAACAACATGAATACCTGTTGTTAAAGTTAAGCTTGCTGATTGTTAAACTACAATGTTCATTTGTTTTTAATGAAGCAAATACAGCTGAACCAATCTCCATGGAACTAGTGTGGGTCAGAAAAAAGAACCCATTACAGTTTGGTGCGGATCCAGAATCAAGGGAGCAGATCCAGGAGAGAGAGCTATTTTCTCTGAGAATAATTAATGAAAAAAAATCAGGCATGTTTAGGGTACTGATGTTACGATTGTGTGTAATGTGGAGCAGATCCAAATAAAGATCCAGATCTAGTGAATTTAAATGTTTTTTCATAAGGGGACTGTTAGCAGAGGTATGTGATCGTCCCACTCTAGGCACCTCAGAGAGCTGAGAGTAAATAATGTAATGATGAGTAATAAAACAAAAAACCTCTGCTACATAAAAATAATGTAATTAAGTACGTACACATTTTGCAGCAAACATACAAGCATACAAAACAACATGGACGCAGGTTGCTGCTTCAGAACAACTCTTTAAGAATTCAATATCATGGAGAGTAATGATATTCTCTCTGGCTGCACTTAGAAACAGGGGGTGGAGCTCTCCAGTACAAACCACCACACACTTCCTTCCTGTGTGACCACATTCACAGAGAAACATTAAACCAAAGGTTAGATCTCTTGTGACACTTTGCACTTTGCTCACTAAGCTCTGTGCTACGCTGCAAAGAGTGAACGCTGAAACTGTAGCAGTGTTTTTGCAACAGTGGGAACATCTCTATTACATTTTGAGACGGGGTGATTGTCTGTGGCGGGGAAGCTTTGGGACAACTATAGAGATGCAGTAGGTGTGTCACCTCATTAACTCCATGAGACAGCAAAGCAGATTTCCCAAAGTGCAACTCCCAGTGCGAGGGAGTATAATAATGTCAATTTCCAAGTCTGCACTTTTAATTGTTTGAGTGCAAACAAGAGTGCTCCTGCTATGTGGTGAATCAACTGGAGGGTGGTGATATAACAGCAAAGTCCCAGTCTGCACTGAACCACAGATCCCAGCCTGCAGAATTAACATCAATGAGTTTAGGCTGATAAAGAGCTCTGCTGTCTGTCTTTGTCTCCGTCTTTATTCTGGCCTCTGCAGCCATGGACGGCTTTTGTGTAGGTGACCGCTGTGTTCATATTCACATGTGTGTGTGAGTGCCTGTGTGAGTATTGGCAGTAAAATCTTCTTTCATGGGGAGTCAAATTTGACATCAGACGTTTAATAAATGTAGAGGCTATCATGAATTTGCTGGAGATAATTTGAGGACAGACAATAAGAGATGGGAACAATTGTAGAATTAAATATGAAATAAATCGAGTTAACTCTTCACACTGATGCAAAATTTGAATTAACCATTAGATATAGGTCACAGTGGACTAATAATCAATCACATCACAGAAAAAAATGTGTTTTTTTCATCATCACTGTTTGTATATAATACTTTTTTTCAGTTTGATGAATTTAAAATAATAAAAGCTGCATCAGCAGTGTGCTCTTAATTCTGATACTGCAAAAGCTGAAATAAACAGAAACACTTTATCGTGCAACTTCACCCTCTGTTGGTCACTGTGGATTTCTTCAAGTGGACATAGCTGACTGGGAAAATCCCCTGTGGACAGAAGAAGGAGCGAAGACGTTAGCAAGTGTGACAGGATTGAGTCTGTAATTCTCCTGCAACAGAAATGCATGGTTATGTTTGTGTTATTAGGATTGTTTAACTACATACAAATTGTACAGTTCTACCGGTGTCACATCATGTGTTGAAGGAATTTCACAATGTCTGCTTTGCTGTTTAGTAACGTTCTCATCCATATGAAGGGGGGGGGGGGGCACACAGCAACATGCAAGAGCCCTATTGTGGCTCAGATTAGCTGGGGAAGGGCACAGGAGACCCAGCGATGCCAACTGCCACCCTTGCAGTTCATCTTTCTAATTCTAATCTGCCAGATGTAAGAAACTGGCCACGGTGAACACAACTAATTCTCCCAGCACAGAGAGAGTATGGGGGCGAACGGCTGTGGGCAGCAGAGAACATAACAAAATGGAGGGGTGTTAGCGAGAACTGTAAATAGCAGATGAGAGTAGAGAACGACAGCGTGTAGCCACTAACACCTACATTTACCAGGACTGGACAGCTTTCTGCTTTCTTAAAAACCTTTCTGCAGCATCACATAACACTTCAGCTCCTGACATTTAAAGCAGAGTCCACAKATAGAAGAGCAGAAATTACCTGCTGCTCTCATGCTTCTAATAATATAGCTGGTACTTTTGTTACACCGTTGTTGCACTGTTTGTTCTGTGGCTGTACGGACCTGACATCTTTGCTCTCTCACTTTGTACCGTGACTTTGCAGACTGTTCTGCTTCAGGTTAGAATTAATGACGCCTGTCATATACATTCCATACTGAACAATATGGGAGGAAAGATTTGTCAGTCAGATTTAATAACCATTTACTGCAGTGCAGATTATTGATCTCTGTCAGGAGTGATGCTGTTGTTCAGAGTTCTGCACCTACTGTATGTTTCTCCTCTGACTGAGCAGGATGCACAGGATTTATCACAGTGATACTGTTTGAACAAACTCTCTGCTGAGACTTGAGACATTTACTGCCCAAGTTTATCTTTATTTGATTTCATATTTTAATATCTCTATACGATCATTTTACAGTGCTGTCTTAGTCTAATGCACAACTTTGTGTATATCTTCAGTTATTTATCTTTAAATCTGTATTTATATTTAACTTCAATCCTCTGCCTCGGTTACTTGTGTCTTTTAATCACCTCATAATTAAAATATTTGTATTGTCAATATTTAAATTAGCACATATTTCTTTACAGTGACAGATTTGTAGTAGTTCTGGTGGCGAGACTTCGTCTATCTATCTATCTATCTATCTATCTATCTAGATTTAAGAAAATCAAGACTTCTCTATGCTTCAATCAAAAACATTACATCCTAATTTTCTGTATAAATGTCCTGCAGCAGTCACTTAAAAAAAAATATTTAATTTAGACTGCCATAAAAACCTTGTTTTGGTAAAATGAGTGGTTTTCAAATGACTAACTGCACCATCTGCTGGCAGAAAAAAAAAGAAAATTTGGATCTCAAATTCTGCACAGGAGGGGAAACAGTAGTAAATGATAAATGGACTGAATTTATACGGCTCTCTTCTAGTCTAAATGACCACTCAAAGCACTTTACAGGTCACATTCACCCATTCACACATTTAATGCAGCCTTTTTCTATCACACTGCCAACACAGCCATCAGGGGCAATTTAAGGTTCAGTATCTTTCCCAAAGACTCTTCAGCATGCAGACTGGAGGGGATTAAACCACTGATCTTTTGGTTAGTGGATCACCCGCTCTACCTCCTGAGCCACAGCCACCCACGATACTAGTAATACTGCATATGAGTCCATGATGCTGTGTTTATCTGAACAGTTTCATATTGCAATTTAAAAGAAAATGATGGGGCCCTCATACCAAGGTGTAATGTACAATTCAAATTTGATTTTGATTTTATTATTATCATATACGCTGTATTTTTTTCACTGTTGTAAATCTTTTTGGGGGATGGCATTATATTTAGTGCTTCTGTACTATGAAGTCAGAATATCATGGTTAAAATGGTGCCTTTTAAAAGCACCTCTGGAAATACAGGTCAGGAGATTTCTATTTTTGTCTGTTCAAAGCTCCGCTCAATAAGTTAATCGGTCATTAAGCTCTTTGTTGTGGAGACAGAGTTATTTCTGGGATGCACGTCTCTCACATCATATTATCATTCATAAAAATGCTGTGGTGTTTGATGAAAGCTTGATGTAGAGATTCAGATTTACATTTACAGATCGGCTTTCACTGCAGTTGACAAATGAGCTTATGTTAAACAAAGGACAAATATTATTTTAGCAGTCAGAAAAAAAATATAGTGTTTGTTAATAAGAAGAGGTTTAGTCACGTTACATCAAATATAAATGAACAGAGTCAGAATACAGAAACCTCTTTGCAGCCTATAGGAATCAACACAGTGTAAAACCAGTGATCTGTTATAATTACCTTGATAGAAGGCTTCTTGGAGGAAAAGCCTCTGTACCAACCTAAAGGAAGATCAGAATACACATCAGTAAAGCTGTTTAATGTGTGATGGGACATTACACCATTTTGCTGGGGTACTTGGTGCTCTGGTTTACAAATCAGCTTTAATCAAACTTTTCCTTTTATTCTCTTACATGTTTTTATCTAAATATACAACAAAATATGTTCACCTGTTACATCACTGAGAGTAAATTATCGCTTATGTACGACTCATCCAGCTTTAACAAATGATTACAATGATTTTGCCTGTATTGTTAAATCAGTACCATATTATCAGAGACTCAGAGATTTCTACTGAACAGCCAAAACAAAATGATTCAAGTGTGTTTGCCATTTTTGATTTGCACTATATTATGTAGTATTATGTTATGTAGCTGGCTAACGTAAACATTGTTCCTGTGCAACCGGAACACGATATCAATATCAATTTGACTTAAAAGTTGTCTAATTTAAATACTGATGCTAACAAGGCCAGAATAAACCTAAAAAGTAACCATCATGTTTTCACTGAAGAATGGGTCTTACGTTCTGAAAAAACATTTTCCCACTAGTGTCCACTTCAACAACTTGATATCTCCCTGATAACCTGCAGTAAAGACCTGTGATTGTTTACAAGCTATCACAAAAACCATGTGTCGTGGCCGTACGAGATGAGACTGTCATTACCTTCACTCTTCTCCAGAATCTGTACAGTTTCCCCAATCTCCAGGACCAGGGCCTGACATATTGATGACCGGAAGTTGCAGATCACTGTGCGGACGAGGGGGAAAGAGGAAAACAGATAAAGAGACAGCTGTGATGAAGAAATACTTGACCTTACAGTTGTAATAAGTCCTGACATCATACACAACGATCTATGTTTGCAACGTGTGGCCTGTGATCAAACAAGGTGCAGCCTCCACCCTGTCGTGTCTCCACACAGGATGAGTTTTGGGGTTGTAGCCGGGCTGTTTTTGCAGCTTTCTTTAATAAGCTGTTTAATGCAAACATCTAAACACAGTATCATGCGGGAACCACTGCTTAGTGAACTGTAAACAAGCTCCCACCCTGAAGTGGGAAGTCATTTTAATAGGCAATTAATTCTTAAGCAGCCTGATTTTTGCGTGAAGTTAATTGAACTGTCTCCCAAAGTAAAGCCCACACGGGCTGCTAAGTAGTGTGGCTTAACGCTGCTTTGTCACAGGCCGTTATTAGCGTAGACCTTCTTTGCCACCTGCTTTTGCAGCATCATCTTTGACCGGACACAGAAACATGTGACTCTCGCACTGATTAGGAACATGAGAGGGGATGGACGCCACAGTAAAGACCTTCGCAGCAGGATATCAAGGTTCAAGATTCAAGGTCTTTATTGTCATCATACTCAGGTACGATGAAATGGTGCAACCCCTGGAACCTTCTTTCTAATCAATGCAGCCCTGCAGTTTGCTGCGTAATATACAGTGTATCTAATAATGACGGGGCTCCACTGACTATTCTAAAAAACCCACAAATGGAGGCCCTTCAAGGAGGGTTTGGTGTGAATCATTATGCTAATGATCTAGCCAGGGGACCCAGTGAGGGGGAGGAAGGGAAGGAGGGGCTTGGGCTCAGCTCCGTTGCCTGTATGAGGGTAACGAGTGCTCGGTTCCTGTGCTCGGGTAACTATGGCAACAGATCATCTACAAACTGGAGGGCTTTTCTTCACTGTAACTGCAGCAGAGATCTAGGCGTTTTAAAATGGCAAGCTTACAGATGCTGCACGGCACTAAAGTCAAAGTCAAGCATAGTTCGGTACATTTGAGAGGGACAGAGACGGATAGTCTTAAAGAGCCGGCTTGTCACCTTTTCCAGTGTGCCCCGGGGACTTCTTCCAGCCAGGTCTAAGTATTTCTTATTTGAGAGACCTATTCTATAATGGACTCTATTTCATTTGAATTGCAAAACCCCGCACTCACACCATTTGAAAACTCTTCAGCAGAGGCCACGTCAGAACAAGATGAGATTGTCATGTTGGCGAGAGATGTGCGCATCACACAGGGTCATATTTTCATATAGTCCTCCCTCACAAAAACCTCCAGGCTGTGCAAACACTATTTCATTGTGCCTAAAAGCTGCAGAGCATTAGCATATCCTCAAAAACAAAACCGACAAAATTCACCTTTAAACTTCAACATGCTGAACGTAGGATGTTGGAAGGACTGACAGGACGGGCAGTGAAAAAAATGCTGGCAGAAGCAAATGTTTCTAACAGATCAGATCCAGACTGTCCGGCTGAATTTAGAGTCTGCATGGTCATTATTGTGTAACCAGCTACTGGAAGGAATGTTTGCCTCTCTTTCTTTGAATTATGGGGTTTTAGCACAGGAGGAGACTCCCACTGTTTCTCTTTCCCATTGGTCAAACTCAAACACACATATGCAGTCATATACTGAAAGCTTGTGTGTTATTCCCCCAGGTACAACACTTTCTGATCAATCAATAATCAAAGGTTTGATGAGCCACAGTTTTAACATAAGATGTATAGAGTCATTCTTCTAAAAGCCACAAAGATGTTAAAGCGAGATTGCTGCATAAAGGAAAAAACAAGATGACTTTAAATGATTTAGATTTTTATGAACTAAGCAAATTCATTATCATAGTTTATTCAAAATGTGTTATAAAGAAGAAAAACTCAAAGCACACAACATATTTCTCTCCCTGTCCAGTTGTGTTCTCCTGATATTTACCAAAAAGCCTGAAAACGTTCCTTTAAGAATCCATTGGCTCTGTGTTGGCGTGAAGTGAGAACACAACCGGGAGTTGATTTTCCACAACATCACTTAGTAACCACCACCGGCACCACACACACGACAAATGTAGTGATAATCTTGTGTCATTCCACCATAAAGTTACAATGAATGAGACAATTTAACCTTATCTGTGGTTTCACACTGGTCTTATATATTACTGAGAATCAAAGGGGGAGAAATCACATTGTGAGTATCAAGCATCGTGGTTTAATACAAACTGACTCAGGGAATTGAGTCAAATAAGTTTGAATTATTTAGGCATCCTGTGAGAGGAATATTATTGCTCTTTATTATGCCTTTGTTTTCTAAATTCTCCACCCCCACTAGTGCGTAGGAAAAAATTTCTAATTAAAAAAGAATCAAAATGTTATGTGACAGACGTGTTTTATTTTCTTCTTAAATAAAAACTACAAAAACTACCAGGTCTCATTGGTGATTAAGTCCTGCTGTGTAACATTCAAATGAATGTGAAGATTACAGGTGTGTGAGATCATTCAGATCTCTCCATGTTGTTGGAAGAAAAAGATTGAACAGCACCAACATCGTGTTCGTGTTGATGGGTTCGTCTTGTATCACAAACACTTATCACATCAGCAGTAATATTGTTTAGAGGTTTGAATATGTTCACGTCACATTTATCATGTATCTGCTCGCACGTCAGTCCAACACACTCTGTCCGGAAAAGATCATCTCACTCTGTATTCTGAGAGACCTTTAAGGTACTTTTCTGTGTCGGAACTTTCACCTGTTTTTCTTGTCTACAGTTCATGTTTCTGTTGAAAAGGAGATTTTTTTTTCTATTATACAATAGAGCAAGTGAAGCCAATAACTCTATTCAGTGTACAAACTGACTATTACATGCTGTCATGTCTTGAAAAATGTTTACTTCTATATGTAATATAGTGAAGATTTAAACAGAACACACATTGCACACACAGGGAGTAAATGTACAATGACCCACAGAGGAGGAACGTGCTGCAGAGAAGGGACAGAGGTCATCAAATATCTGCTACTACAACAGTGAACACAGTTATGGCTTCTAAATGTTCTGCTGTTTGTCTTTCTTCAAAAACGCTGGGTGCTAATTCCACCGCTGTGGGAACATTTTATTCAAAAGGACACTGCGCTCGTCTAAACTGCAGCACTGAATGAACTTCATTACTTTGGCTTTAGTCCTTTAGCTTCCAGTCTCAAACAAAACTGGTTCAACTGAAGCTGAACTGCGAACTGAAGTCACTTTAAACCACTCCAGTAATGCAATAAGAGCACAGAGACCATGGAGGTCCTGCTTCCCTGGCTTGAATAAAGTCCTGTCCCAGATCTAGCAATGTTAAAAATGACCCAACAGTCTTTGGGCTTCACCCTCTTAGTCATGGTGTTTAGCACAACTTGAACGCACACTCACTTACTGGGAAACATTACTGCACAGAAGTCCTGCTAACCTCAGGATTTCTGCCACACAGGCAGGGGGGCATTTCACCGTAGCTGATCTCAAATCAGTGTCACAGAAGCCGAGGCATGCCCGACTGCGGTGTTCTGAAATGATGAACTTATCATGGAGCACTTTTAAATGACTGTGTACGTTACTATCACTCCTGCAATAATAATGTATTTATTTTGCAGCTGTGCACGTCAGTTAAGCCACATGAATACAGTCGTACACAGATTTGTGATCCGGTGCCCATGAATCTAAGAGGTGCCTACTATGCAATTTCCATTTGGAGATTTTATGAAGGGTTAAAATCGTGCACAAATGTATAGGGAAAAGCTACTTTGGGCAACATTAATAAACATTAACATTAATCTCTCTAATCCCGCTCTCAGCTGAACATTAGCTCCATCCTTTGTTCTGCTATGAACATATTTGGTCCCTTTCAGATAATGGTGGCCTCGTCACCACGACTATTTCATGCGGTGCCACAGGAGTTTGTGTGTGAGCTACGTCCACGAGCCATCTGATTCATTTCATTCTGTCTCATGTGGGCAGGTACTGACTTATAGTCACAGCTCTGCCCAATTACAGTGTAAAGAAATACTGTGAGTGCTGCTGCTTGAATGAGAGAAATCCATCAGTGACTCATTTGCAAATGAGAAAGTTGAACTTATAGAACCAAGGTATTTAATAAAAACTGCGATGATGGTCATGAATATATATGAATATATAATGAATATGTGTCATATCTTTGCTCGATTCCTGTGTGATCTTGGATTTGCTTTGAAATTGTTTCTGATTGTTTGCTTTTTGACTGTTTCCCATTGACTGCATTAATTTTGTTATGTCTAACTTGTAAAGTACCATGTGACTGTGTTTTGAAATGTACTGTATCATTATTATTATATATTTGATCATCTATCATCTATATTAGTCGAAATTCCAAATATTTGCAACCTGGTGCTTTGCTTATACTTAATGGCATGATGACTTTCAACATCTGGGTACTTTCACATACTTATGATTAATAGAGGAACAAAACAAGTAATTATTAGTAATCAAAATAATCATTAGCACAACAGTACATGCGATCATTTACAAAGTCATTTACAAACTAATATTATCATTATTTCCTGCATAAACACACAACAAAGAACAAAGTAATGAAAAGGCAGCGATTCTAAAAAAGACATTAACCTTTCATGAGGTGGTCTTCAACTGTTTCCTGTTTAGACGGAGCTCATTAAGATAAGCCAGGAGGGGGAAAGGAGAAAAAAAAAACAGAACAGAAAGGCCTGGCTGGCTGATGACAGACCGCAGCTCTGTTTCCTATCGGTGTTATGGTAACACTGGTGAGAGACAATTTACGGGCAATGACAAGAAGAATGATAAATGTGCAAAATGGTGCAACTAAAGACACAGCCGAGGAGAAGCGACGATAACAGACATATGGGGATTCAACTTGGCAGAACAGCAGCGTGGACTTCCTCCACATCATCCACCATGATGCTGGAGGAATATTCAACATGGACCACACTCATTGGAGACAGTGTGTTCCGAGAGCAGGTTCACACACAGCGGCTCCTGCGTTTCAGCACCGCGGATAGCGCCAGGTCACTTCACACCGACTGATGCGGAGGCTGCGCCGAACTGTTGCTTCATCACACACACACACACACACACACACACACACACACACACACACACACACACACACACACACAGCCGCAGTGATTCTATGATGGATGCACAGATGAACCTCACAGCAGAAGTGGCGACATTAAATGCGACCATGTGAGGCCTCCAAACAAAGCGAGGCTGTGGGCGTGTGCATGTATGTTTATGTTTATGTGTGTGTGTGTGTGTGTGTGTGTGTGTGTGTGTGTGTGTGTGTGTGTGTTATCATGTGCACGCCAGCACGAGTATACCCTGCAACTAACAAGCTGTATCTCGACATGACTCATTCCCAGACGAAAACCTTCTAGTAGAATCCTACGCTATATACTTTTTTATTTCTGCTGTGGAGCTCAGCAGTCAGGTTATATATATATATGACACATCTCCCTTGTGATTGGACTCTATGCAGTGTTTCCCCCCCCCACCATGAAATGCAAATGTGACCGGAGCTGGAACTGTTGATCCGTGTGTGCACGTTTCCCTCCTAATCAAAGGTCAAAGTGCACACATGCAGGGGGCGTGCACGGTGTGGCCCAGTCATTGCAGCAGTGCATGCAGCTCTCTGGTCCACAGGTACTGATCCACTCCAGCCTACACCTGTTGGAGGTACGCAGTCACGACGCCCCCTCGTGGTTTTGAGCACGAACGGCATTTTTCTCCCCCCCACCTCGTCTCCCACTCGCCGCCCCTTCACATATGAGAAGAAAAAGGGCTCCAATGCTACACTGACGCATTCTTTTTAAACCACTAAACTCACAGCACGAAGCCGAGGTGAAGCACCGCCTGCGCCCGTGTGGATGGGGTCTTGGAGGGTGGTGGGCTGGAGCCCATCACCATCCCACGCAACCCCCCCCCCCCCCCCCCCCCCCCCCCCCCCCC